CTAAACGGGAAACCTAAGAACTGAATGAAACAGTTTGCCTTTGAAGTGTGAACTAAGATTTATGGTAAGGCGGAATATGGTGCTTGCCTTTTGTAAAGATTAGTTATAATAAAGCAAAGTTTGTTTCAAGCATTTTGGTTGATTACCTACAGACTAGTACAATGTGTGTGCGTGAGTAATATATCTGTCTCTTTATCTAAATTAGTGTGTCTGTATACTTATATAATCAGATGTCGGTTTCGGAAGGCTATGAAGGTTAAAACAATATGACATTTTGAGGTGTAATCTTTATTTTATAAATCAAAAATAAATATTTGACAAACACAATACTGGCAGAGCCTTACGACCTCCATCACAGCTTTTAGCAATTGTCACTGTCAAGCTGCCAAGCAATTAATTTCATCAGACTGACAATAGTCATTACAGTCAACTCTCTCATTAGACGCGACTGTTGTGAATTCCGAGTTTAATTTCAATGTTAAAAAAGTTGACGAGTGGCTTGCGTGGCGGAACATCCTTTCGGCTGGAGGGAAGAAGGAACAGCGGAGGACGCCTTGGGGGAGAGGAGAGGAGGGGAGGAGGAGACCAGGAACAGGAAAAGGATGAGGAGAGAAAGAGAGAAAAGAGGGGGACGAAGATTTTGAAGGAATGAGAAGAAGATGTGAGTGAGCAAGAGAAAGTAAAAGGAGAAATAGAGGAAGGAAAAGATGCAGATGGTAGGAAAGAACGAGAAGAACGAAAAAAGAAGAGGAAACAGACGCATAATAATGGAAGAGCAGGTAAGGAGAAACTAATCTTTCTGAGACAAAAGTCGAAGGGAATTATAGAGATTTTTTTTTGTATTTCTTACAACAGGACGAAGCTGCGAAACGGGACTTTTAAAATTTCGCGTAAACTATAATATACTCAAAAGGAGAGATAGAATGAGAGATAAATCAAAGAAGACAAAAAAAGAAAATGAAAGAGAGGTTATCGTAATGTTAACAATAAAAAAATGAAATGCCGTATTCTATCGTGAAATAGTGAAAATACTTCTTTAAAAACGCAACAACATTTTCGTCTAAGCTATAATACGCCACGAAGAGAGGAGAAAGAAAATACTCGAAAAGAGAAAAGCGGTAAACCATGAAAACGCAACACTTTTGGTGGAATAATAATAGGAATTTTCTAGAAAAACAATAAATTCCAGCCACAGAAGACTTTAATCGTATGGCTCTCAATCACTAACTATACACGAAGCGAAAAATGTCGCCTTATTATCTCTACGTTTTTTTTATTTCGAAATGCCACCATGTTTACTTATCAGAAAGTCAGTTACGATTAATTATTAGTTAATCTATTCGTTGTTATTGATCTATATATGTATATCACCAAGACGTTTGCCAATAAGGGACTCGTAAGACAATGCATTACTTGTGAAACCACTCGAGAACACAACTATGGGTTTTCAATCCTATAAGCATGCAGTATTCAATACCCTGATGTGTAATGTATCGAGAACCTTACTATGAAACAAGTTATCAAATTTCGAAAAGGATAGTATTTTTATCAGCATAATGCATGCCATGCTAGGACTGCAAACGTGCCATCTACTGTCACACAGTATCTGGTCTAAGCAGTACGGTAAATGATAAAGAATGACATCTTAGTTGCACTTACGAAGTTTGAAAATGGAAGAAAGAAAATGGCAGATTACTTCGCTGGACTCGTGGAACTTTGGTTGCAGAAATAAAAGATCGGGTATTTTTGTATCAATGTGTATTTCCTATTCTCATTTCTTTAATTAGATATAGTTTTTTTTTCTCCCTTTCGAGAAAATTCCTGAAAAATAAACAATAACTGGACTCCTTGATGATAAATATACTCATCAGAAATACATTGGCATGAAACGTTATCGGTGGGTCAGAATAGCCATGGTGTGTTTGACTTCTCAGGGTTCAGAGAGGCGGGGGCGAAGGCTGGCCCAGGACTCCGTGCGAACCTGCTGTCACATGTATATCCTAAGAATAAACACATATATAAATAGATAAATATATGAATAATAACAAGTGGGACAATAATCTGCAGGTTCCCTCTCCCAAGATGTAACACAAGTCTAGATCAACACTCAAAACGAACTTAGTTGAACAACAACTATACTTATCATCGAGTTCATCCTCTGGTAATAATAGTTAGTGTTTGTCGATAACTAAACGTTACTTGAGTGAAAGAAGTGTTTCGGGCAAGTCATGGTAACACAAACTGCAGAACGTACTGAGGCTAGTTACAAAGAATAGAAAACGAGACGTGGATTTATGAGAACTGAAATGTTGTGAGTGTTGTGTTCGGTTTGCAGCTCAGAGGCAGGCCTGTTGCCTCGGGATCAGGTTTCCCGTTCATTCCAGGCTGACTGGGTGTTGTGCTGAGCTTCCCTCACTGTCTCATTTTTAGTTATCACTCTGCCTTTGAGTGTCAAGTTTAACGCCCAAACTTTTTTGGTCATGCTGCTCATTTTCCCCAT